GGAATTCCTAGAGGCATGGTTCTCCACCCGTAATGCAATCAACAAACACGTAAAATTGGACCACATATACAAACCCATACAGATCAAAACCAGGAGTGACACTACTCACCATAACGAACCAAGCAGAGTAGAAGAACACTGCTTCATTGGAGGTTCCACTGATGATGTCACCTAGCATGGTGACAAAACGTCTGAACGAGAACAAGCCAGCTCGGCAAGCAAGTCAACAACCTCATGAACATGTTTAAGGCTGAGATAGACGGAATTTTGGTCTCAGAATATCTTGGGGTATGGGAAGTGTGCACGAAAGTGGCGTAGAAGTCCAAGACCAGCTATGATCATATTGAATGGTAGAGCAGGTTTCACAAGCTGTGTGATCTACTCCTGCTCCTATTTCTTTTGGCCATGTGCATACTCTAGAAGTTGCTGTCAGTCCAGAACTCCTGACGAAGCTATAGCAATTGGGTGTTTAGTATTGAGCAGTTGATTTTTGGGTGCGTGGGTGTGAAAGCGGATAATAACACTACCAGAAAGTGTTGGAGAAACCCAGAAGGTCTGGCAGCTTCTATGGAGAGAGAAACAGTTAATGTTTCAAGCCCAATATAAACTCTACTTCAGAACCAAATGTCAGCACTTTATCTTTCCACAGATGCTGTCAGACCTGTTGAGTTTCTCTAGCACTTCAGTTTTTATTTCCAATTTCCAGCATCCTCACTGTTTTACTTTTTATTATAGAGGTTAGTAACAGTTACAGTTTCTACTCCAGATTGCAATCCAGTAACTTCAGCTGAAAAATTGATGAGGGAATGTTTGGTGAAGACAGATTTTGCCTTCTCCGTCATAATTGATCTTCTTGATAAATGTCCCTTTATGAGAGTTCTTAAGTTACCAATAACTCAGCATGCATGGATGCCTTTCAGAGAGCAGTGAAGAAATTTGGATTGGGCTGCAGGGGGAGGTCTCTTGTCATTCCTTGGATAATTATACTAATTTTGTAAAGAAGAGTACAGACATTCGATAGATTTAAGGGATGATCAGGTTTTTATGGTTTAGGACCTTGTTTTGATTCTGATAAGTTCTATCCTTGACTTTATACTATGGTTCATTGAAATGTTATTTGTGCTGTGTTAAACCTGGAAGTGCTTTTGTCTACTGTTTACATTGGGAGGTTTCTAGTGTGTCCTAGAGCTGTGATGTCGCAAGGGGTTATTCACCGCTCTGTTACAACGCAGTGAAGATGTCACAAAAATGTCATAACAAGGGGAAATTCTTTTTATATTCAGGTACATGTCTAAGTTCATTTCTTTTTCCTCAATAATACTTTGTTTACGCTATTGAACGAGCATGTCCTTCTAACCCATGACCTACAGGACAAATTAGGAATTGGATAGAACTGAAACAAAATATTTTTACTTCTGTTCAGACCACCTCCTTCCATCTGTGGTTCACAGAAACATATGTCAATTAGGCACAAGATAGTTTAATGTCAGGCACAAGCTCTATTTGCATAGTTGATCATACGTCACAAAGGGTAGCAATTCAGTTTTCAATTACTCCTGCTATCTTACTCAGCCTTCACCTTTCTTAAACAATGTTTGCCTCCCACTAACTGTTATTTCCTGCGTAGAAAGAACTTTGGGCTGTCAACTACTTCTAACTCCTTTATAAGACAATCCAGTCTTATTTAAAAGTACCTATACTTTGCATTAAAGTTCTTAATTAATTACCTATGGTTGCTGTCTGTTTTGATCAGCCGATCTTTGCATTCTAGTTGATGGTCTGCAATCTAAGGTGAAACAGAACTCTTTGTTTATATTCCATTCTAATCTTTGTTTCCCAACCTCTTGGTATATCAGTATTCTTGGTTTACTATAGTTCATTATGGCTATTATGGTTCATTATTAACTCAGTTCTCCTCTGTACCATTTATAATCCTGTGTTAGGTAGTCTACAATTAATATACTTCTTTCCATTTTCTCATAAGCTACTGTGTAAAGATCAGTAGTATAGAGCCTTTATCCACTAAAATTCTCACTTTTTTGTTCAGTTAGCATGTACAAATAATTTTATCTGATCTTAATTCATTTAACACATTTTTTTAATCTGCTTTGCTATTCTTACGCTGGCTGTTAAATAGTAACTTGTATTCCTGACTTCAGTTCTTCCTCCCACTGCTGATTTTACATAGCCTGTCCACATACATATTGACCAAACAACAAAAGTGACTGCAATCTTAAAAATATTTAAATAGATGTAAAGGAGCTTGGGACATCCTGAGGTTTTAAAAGGTGCCGTATAAATGCAAGTTTCTACTTTCTATTGCCTATCCCTGGTTTAAGTTAGCTGTAATTATTTGGACTGAAATCTGAAGTATAACTATCACAGCACTGGAGGAACGATGCAATTTCCATTAAAATATAGTGCCAAGGAGCTGGGTTTACCATACTTAGTGATATTGCTTTATTAGAAGGCTAACATGACCCAAGTATAAGTTGATCTTTGCTCTTGGTGCCCACCCCAGATGCACACTCACATGGTCACACAAATCCAGAGGTTTTTAATTTCTTGTCTTTGCATGCACTTATTATATATCTTGACTCTCATTCCTTTCTCCAGTACCATTGATTTTATTTTCTTCCTACTGCAGTACCCACCCAAATGCCAAAGATTCACTTTTGACCTACTTCATAAGAATAGAGGTAAAACAAAACCATCTGGTTAAGATGACCCTTTTTTGTCTTCCTTCACTGATATGTAATGAGAGTACTGTTGTTTGCAGCCAGTGGAAGTGTGGGGAATCCTCGTTCTTTTATGATTCATGAAAAGCTTCTCAGTAATTTAAGGGAAATCCCTATGCTGTAGTGCCTATACACTTCCACAGATTATTGCCAAGATTTATTTAGCATATATAGACTTAGCATATCATTCCGGCCATCTTTTAAAGCATTTTATTAACACGAATGCAAAGTGTGTTGGTCACCAGTTAGTTGGATTAATGACATGGTTTGTATTTGCTCCTGCAAAGTCTGGCAACCATAGTATATCTGACTCAAGATGCACTGAATGTACAGTTTAGTATCCACTATGAAAGTGTGAAAGCATAATATGATGCAAATTAATAACAACTTGCACAAGTGAATGTTAGGGCGTTCGCTCCCAGCAGAGCTTCATGGTTGGTGATTAACCTTCTTTGAAGTTTTCAGTCTGTTTTTAGTAGATAGTCATACCCAAGTAAACGGGATGAGCATCATATTTATGAAGTTGACCACTGGGACTGAGTTCATGAGAAGCACTAACATTACACAAGTGAAAAATACAGCCCACAGTTTTTGTGGTACTTGGTTGAAGATGCCATTTCAGGCATCACTAAGCTGTAAGTTTTGTATCATTAGTCTGGCTTCCAGAATGTAGTCTCCACAATCTGGTCACAGCTAGGTCATTTATATGTAGGTTAAAAAGGAGTGGTGCTAGAACAGATCCCTGAGGGAGGTCATTAAGTTGATATCTTCTTCAGCTTGTCTGATCACTCATGTATGATTCTAAAACTCTCAGCAGTATTTCAGCCAAGCAAGTGTCTAAGTATATCAAGACTGTTGATACTTTAGCTGGTAGATTAAAATGAAATGATTGGTTGTTTAGACAAGATTCAAATTAAAGTATTCTTTTTAACTGCCCACAATATAGAAATGATTTCGTAAGTCTAAGTCATCGGTCACACCTGCCACTTTCTCTCAGCGACTGAGCTGAGTATATGGCCAACGAAGAAAGTAGTGTACTCTAAGCCTGCTTAAGAAAATAATTGAAATTTTCTCAGAAGCAATTCAACTGGGAATTTCCCTAACTTTTCTGGATTAATATGCTAAACTGGTATCTGGATTTTCCGTGCCTCCATGTTACATCACTCATAATTAGGTAAGAAAATCAGAGCTATAAAACATAAAGGAACCAGGAAGACCACACACTATTGTCAAAAGCAGTTGTGTAGTGTATGAGCTGTTCATTACATCCTTTTGATTGACTTTTATTATTACAACTTCTGTTTAGGGGCATAAAATTAATCTTAAGAAAAGTGATAAACATAAATATGCTGTTTTCAAATTAAATTTGATTGATCATAAAAATTTGGCAGTGGTGGAAGTGAGTTTTTGCATGAGAAGGTAGGTGCTTGTAGCATTATTTCTAATATGGGAATACTATTTGTCATCTCTAAAAAGTTGTTGTTGGCTGTTAACCAAAAGCCTAGCTGTTCCAGTAAAAAGAAATTGATAGCCTGGGGAAGGGTGATTCCTGGTTTGACTACAAGTTTAAAAGTTCTGGGGAGAACTTTGCAATGGATTCAGCTTTGAAGCCATATAAGCCATACATTCTTAAGATGTGCTTATAATTTAGTGGCGATCATTTTAAAAAATCAATAGGCTGAAAATTAAAGGTGCAAAAATGCGTCCAATTGCTGCTTAAGGAATAGATATCTCAAAATTATCAAAAGTAAAATAATATTTGTAAAAGTAGAAATCGATCTGCCAGAAGAAAGAAGTTTAAAATTCTTACTCCTACTATTTGGCTTTTCAGTAGTTGTCAGTAAATAGCTCATGTACCATAACATTTAAAGTGAGCATCTGACCTCAGGAATATGATAAATTGTTTTTATTTTTCTATTTTAAAATAATTTGTAACAAGTTTCAAAAGACCCTTGATGCACATAACAAAATATTTGGTTTCTAATTAATCCAACATTTTTCAGAACCAAGCTGTAGATGACAGAATTGGGAAAATTCAGTGCCCTAAACTGTTGTCAGTGCTCAAACTGCAGTCTAACTAATACTTTGTATAATTTCCGCTCAAATCATTTGCTGAATGGTAGCCCAGTATTCAGAAAAGATGAGATGAAATGGAAGAAAAGACATGAAAATTGCCTAGCTCCATTGTAGTAACTCAGTTGTTCTGTAACCTCTAAGTCCTCTGGCACGCATGTCTGCATTACATGTAGTTTTATGCTTCAAGTGAGAAATCACGTCAAAGTACCAACAGTGAGTGTAAATCCTCTCCAATTCATTTTGAAGGTGTGGTGGCCTACTTGTTTGCTTTTGTTCAGTTTAAGAACTTGGGAATGAAACAAGTTCTAATCTTTGTGTACCTTGATTTATTTAAGAGCAGCTCTGTCATTAATGTTATTTCAGTGATAAATCATTTTCTAAAATGTAAAGTACACTTGTCCACTGAGGCTAAGTGTGATTTGTATGTTCTTCTGTTTTAAGGTCCTGAAAGGGCTAGAAAAATGAAAACTAAATTAGAATATCAAAAACTAAATTCTCAGTGTCTGTGACTGGGATGAATAACATTGTCAACAGCAACATTAAATTGTACTGTAATATGAATTATAATAACATTCTAATATGACTCAAGTTTGTTTCCTTTATTTTTCACAGACTTGTTGAATGCAAGCGACTTCAAAACAGACAAATTTTGGTCTTGCAAGAAACATAATTGCTTTGAGTGCCAACCTTATTGTGAAGACTTGTTCTTGTTAATTTTCACAGAGATTTTAATATGGCCGTGGCCTTGAAACAGGTGTTCAATAAAGATAAGACTTTTCGTCCAAAACGTAAATTTGAGCCAGGCACGCAGAGGTTTGAATTGCACAAAAGGGCACAAGCATCGCTGAATGCTGGACTAGATCTGAAATTGGCAGTGCAACTCCCTTCAAATGAGGATCTCAATGACTGGGTTGCTGTACACGTGGTAGATTTTTTCAACCGTATTAATCTCATTTATGGAACTGTATCAGAATTCTGCACAAATGACACATGCCCAATAATGTCAGGAGGACCTCGATATGAATACAGATGGCAAGATGAGAATAAATACAAAAAGCCTACTGCACTGTCAGCACCACAATATATGAATCTCCTTATGGATTGGATTGAAACCCAAGTGAACAATGAAAGCATATTTCCAACCAATGTTGGTGAGCTGAAACAATCAAATACTAGTTTTGCTTTTCATTTGTTCTTTGTCAGTGTTCTCTGAGTAAATGTCATTTTGAACTACTTACTAAACCACAACTATTATCAATAAGCTAAAAAAAGCTTCCTTTTTTAATACATATTTTGTAAATGATAGATAATCAAGTGGCTCAATCACTTTACATCACAAAAGTCATTTATTCCATTCAAAACTGAATTGGTAGTGGGATGTAAGAGGGGGCAGCTACACACTACATGTCAATTGATGAAACAATGTCTGGTGAACGAAAGTTTTATATTTCAATGTTGATTGGCTTGGCACCATTTCAATATTGAGTTTGCATGTTCTGCAAGGGTTTCCTCTGCGTACTCCGGTTTCCTCCCATATTTCAAAGGTCTATAGGTTAGTTGGATTGGCTATGCTAAAAATTGCTCCATAGTGTCCAGGGATGTGCAGGTTAGGTAGGTTAGCCATGGTAAAAAGCCCGTGCAGGATTACAGCGATGGTGTGGGGGGTGTATCAGTCTGGGTGGGATGCTCTTCAGAGGATCAGTGCGGACTCAATGGGCTAAATGGACTCTTTCTCGGTAGAGGTTCTATGATCACTTGTTTCCTATTCTAAATCCAGTGTAACTTTCAGAAAGTTTGCTGCCCTGCAAACAGTTTGGGATCATTTATTTTATTGCCTTGGCATTTGTCAGACTGGAGTTTAATTTATTACTATACTAAGTGGTATGTAGACCATAAACTACAGAGACAAAGCAAAAAGTGCACAATAGCTATATTAGCAAAATATCAACAAGGAAACAAGAGTAGAGCATTCAGCCTCAAGCCTGTTCCATTGTTCAGTTAGATCCCTCTTAGCTCATGGTTCTGCAGTCCTCCTTACTCTTGTCAAAACAAATCTATTTTGAAAATTTCAATGAATTTACTTCCAACTTGGGTAGGGAATTCCAGATTTCTAAAACGCTATCAAAATTGCCATGAATGAGAGGTGCCAGTGTTGGACAGGGGTGGACAGAGTCAGAAGTCACATGACACCAGGTTATTTAAAATCACAAGCTCTTGGAGTGCTGCTCCTTCATCAGGTGAATTGAAGCACACTGGCACAGAATTTATAATCAGAGAGATCAAAAGATAATACAAATGGTCTGAGTGGAGTGGTGACAGGCTGATTAAAAAGTGTCTGCAGGTGATCAGGAGTGTCAGACGGTGTGAGTGAAGGGATGACCTATAATCCAATAATTGAGGCAGAGAGAGATAATTATGAAAAATGACTGGAATAACATGATAGGTATAAGAATCACACGCTGACCCCAACATACTGTTCTGTATCTGTATCTGTATCTGTAGCTACATGACACCCCACCACACTTCTGTATCTGTAAAATCTTTCTTACGGTCCTGTTTTGACACCATCACCTTGATAACTTGTTGTGATCTCTCTGCCTTAATTAGTTTGTACACTTTTAGATTGCCTGTTACTTTGGTTAGACCCTTATACCTCGACTCTTACACCTATCATGTGTGCTTCTTTTCACTTCACCTGACGAAGAAGCAGCTCTTCGAAAGCTGTGATCTCAAATATTCCATTGGACTATAACCTGCTTCTGACCCTGTCAAAATTGGATATGTACTGTTACTGATTTTTTTTTTAAATCCTCCTAATGTTTTAAGATTTGAATCCTGCAATACAAATATTCTGTTGTATGTAATACTAGGCGAGAGATTGGTCTGATGCACAGTGGTTCAAGCAAATGTACTCTGAAAAGTGCAGGTTTTAACATTTTATTTCCAGTTGTTGTTCACTATACACCCATAAACTGCATCACGAACTTCAAATACAGTGTAAAGTTCCTGTCCAGACTATAGAAATTGAGCTTTTGGCACCATTTAACACTAGCAAGAATGTTAAATTATATATTTTTTTCCCTTAGGTACCCCCTTTCCTAAGAATTTTCTGCAAGCTTGCAAGAAGATCCTTTCTCGCCTTTTCCGTGTTTTTGTCCACGTCTACATCCACCACTTTGACCGGATTGGCTTTATGGGTGCAGAAGCGCATGTTAATACTTGTTACAAGCATTTTTACTACTTTGTTACAGAATTCCATCTAATAGACAACAAAGAATTAGTACCACTGGTACGTTGCTTTACAGATAAGTTTAACAATGAGGTTTGTTTGATAGATTTCTTCTGAGATCAGTGCTTTCTGGTCTATTAGCCACTCCTTTATTGTAATTTTAAGTGCAGTATAATGCTGTTTATAGGGGGATAATAATGTGGTTCCTGTAAAAAGTGAGGCTACAACATGGGGGCTGGTAGGAAGCTGAAGTTCAATTAATTAATGTTTGCAGATTTGGAAATGCTTTTTCATCTTTATACATGGGCGTATTTGAACTTTTGGTCAAACAGGTGCTGGAACTGTTTAATATCTGTCAAGTGGGGTTTTTTGATTGCATTTATCCAGGTTTCATTCATGAAACCATCAATCCTAATGTCTCCAAATGTGACTCGGTGTCAAATTCTGTTTGCTAACACTCTTGGAACATGTTATGTTGAGGGCACTACAAGTATAAACTAGTATTGATCACTAGACATGTTTGAATGACTCAGATGGCAAGAATTAAAATCTCCTCATAAACGTGTGGGGAGCAGCAAATATTTGCATAAAATGTACAGGTTACCACCAGCCTAACCACACCTTTGATACATAATGTACCTCACTGGTTCAACCAGTTGGAGATCCAGGTTTCTGCAGTAGCCTTCTGGCTCTTTTCAACTCAATGACAAATTACAATATGCACTAACTCCTAAATACTGAAAAATTAGAGCACTGAATTTTATAAATTCTAAAAATATTTGGAGAACACAGTGCAACAACATATTAGTCAGCCAAATCGAATTTCATCGCATTCTTGGAACCATATACATAACAGAGTTCGTGAGTATTGAATAGTCACTAATAAATCCAGGAGGGGATTTGTGAAAAGTTTCTTTACTCATGGGGTTGGAAGAATGTGGAACTCGCTATAATAATGAGTTCTTTTAGTGGAAACATTTAAGCAGAAGCCAAACACACATGCAGCGGAAATAGAAATAGGAATATATGTTGATGGGGTTAATTCAAGTAAGATTGGGCAGAAGCTTGTGTAGAAGATAAACACTGACATGGATCTGTTATGTGGAATAGTCTTTCTGTGCTTCAGACTCTGTGTAACCTCATGAAGAAGCAAAACTAGGATGTCTTAAAATTTACTAAAATTATTGATTAAAGCTCTGGATGTCACTGAAGCCAGTTCCATTTTTAAACATAGGTGCATTGTATAAAAGATTAAGGAGGATAACTTGCTATAAATAGCATGGGTGAATACCCTCTATAATCAAATGATAGGCTTGCAAGTCTCTTTGCATGAATACTTTGAAGCAATAGAATGGTGCTGCATAAAACCAAATTAAATAGAGATTTAGTATGTTTCATTGGACCTTTTAATGATTTGCAAAGTATTTTTAGTAACTATGAAGCCTCCAGAATTACATTCGCAAGCACAATGCGTATACTTTAAATTAAGGACATGCTGGGAATAAGGATGGTTCAACACTGAAAGAAGAGGGATACACGAAGTTTTAATTATTTCTGTTGAGAAATGATACTTTCTGCTAAAGATATGCCTTGCTACAGATTACTGCTATTGTTTTGTAGTAGGAGTTCTACTATTGTGACATAGAAAATAATGATTCTGCCAGAGCTGAATTAGCAATGGAATTGATTTAAATTTTGAAGTATGTATATTTATTCCAGAATTTAAGTTTGTTGTTCAGATCCAAATGACAGATTTTCTAATTTATCTAGTCAGCTAATTATAAGTTTCGTTAACAGTAAATTGCTGGCCAGGACTTATTCTCTGATTTTTTTACTAGGAATATTTTGTGTACCAGGCGTTGAAAGAATTGTTAATTAAAATTCCAATGGTGAGATGACCACTGAACACTAAATCTGTAGATTAAAATACTTCTTGTCCAAACTTTGTTAAAAACTGCCTCTGTAAAATATGGCCATACTATACCGTCAACTTACAGCTGCAATTTCCTTTCTTGAGTGTTGATAAGGGTATTACAGGTTAAAGGGCCTTTTTCTATCAATTCTGTGCTGATCAAAAGCAACCACCCAACTATTCCTGCATTATTTCCCAACACTTGGCCCATAGCCTTGTATGCCTTGGCATCATAAGCACACATCTAAATACTACCTAAATGTTATGAGGGTTTCTGACTCTACCACTCTTACATGCAGAGAGTTCTAGATTCCCACCACCCCCTCGGTGAAACCACATTTCTTAACATATTTCTCTGTAAACCTCCTGTGCTCTACCTTAAATCTATGCCCTCTCGTCATTGATCTCTTCACCAAGGGAAAAGGTTCCTTCCTGCTGACCCTATCTATGCCTGTCATAATTTTATACATCTCAATCATGTCTTCCACTCCAAAAAAGCCAACAACAGTCTATCCAATTTCTCTTCATACCTAAAACTCTCCAGCCTAGACAACATCCTGGTAAATCTCCTCTGCACCTTCTCCAGTGGAAACACATCCCTCCTATAATGCACACAGGTCTCTAGCTGTGGCCTAGCAGTTTATACATTCCAGCATATCCTCACTGCTCTTAAATTCTGTGCCTCAGTATAAGTATCCCATATACCCTCTTAACCTTTTTATTTTTCTGTCGTGCTACCTTAAGGGACTGGTGGACGTGCGCACTAAGGTCCCTCTGATCCTTTGTTCTTCCAAGAGTACAACCATTCATCATGTGTTCCCTTAATTTATTTGTCCTGCCCAAATGTATCATCTCATGTTTATCCAGATTGAATTCCATTTGTCACTGTTCAGCCTCCTGTATATCCTCCTGTAATATAAGGCTATCCTCCACTATTTACCACGCCAATAATTTTCTTATCATCAACAAACTTACTGATCAACCCGACTACATTCAAGTCTAAATCATTTATATATGCCACAAACAGCAAGGAACTCAATACTGATCCCTGCAGAGCTCCACTGGACATGAGTTTCCAGGCACAAAAACACCCTTTGACTATTACCCTCTGCTTCCTGCCACTCAGCCAGTTCTGGATCCAATTAGCCAAATTTTCTTGGATCCTGTGGGTTCTTACTCCTGCTCTAATTCTCCCATGCAGGATCTTATTAAAAACCTTGCTGAATTCCAAATAGATTACATCAAATTCAAATGCATTGCCCTCATCAACACACCTGGTCACCTTTTCAAAAAAGTAAATCACATTGGTCAGACATGACTTCCTCTTAACAAAACCATGTGGACTGTTCTTGATTAATCCCTGCCTATCCAAATGCATATTAATTCTGACCGTCAGAATTGCATCTGATAGTTTTCCCACTGATCACTGAGGTTAGTTGACCTTAAGGTAAAAACTATAACGCATTGTGTTTTCTTTTTGCCAGCTGGCCGAATTTGACTTTAATTGTCCATAAGTGCCCCTACCTGTGTCATTCTGTACCTGTCTTCTTACTTGACAGCTTTCTAGTAACAGTTCTATGAACCAGGCTATACTGTGAATAATTTCACAGCGATCATACCTTAATAATTATTATTTCAATAAGACCAGTTCCTCTTGTTTCATTGGGTGAATCATGCAGCAAAAAAGAAAGCCAGAATTCCTTGGTGCAGCTCTGCTGGTACATTCTATTAACCTCAACCAAAAAAACTTCGGAAATTGCTACTTAGACATTATTTTTCTTTGTTGTAATTGGTTTTCAAAACACTAAATCATATGAGAAAGCATTTCACAAATGATTGAGAAAGTCTTAATTCTGTTTCTGCTTTACTAAAGAACCATGGTTGTCTTTAGGCCATTTGTGGGTCCAAGGGGATCAGGACTAAATATCCGAAGATACCCAACCTATTGAAAGGACAGGCAGAAGGGCAAGATGGGTGGACGGTGAGGTTGCCTTGTTTGTAAAAAGTGAGATTAAATTTATAGCAAGAAGCAATGTAGGCTCAGAAGGTGTAGAATCTGTGTGGGTCGAGTTGAGGAACCCCAAAGGAAAAAAGACATTGGCGAGAGTTATGCACTGGCCACCTAGCAGTAGTCTTCATATGGTGCAGAAAATAAATCAGGAGATAGAAAGAAAAGGTATGTAAGAAAGGCACTATTACATTAATCATGGGGAACTTCAATATGCAGGTGGACTGGGAAAATCAGGTTGATAGTGGATCCCAAGGAAAGGAATTTGTGGAATGTCTATGAGATGGTGTTTTTTTGGAGCAACTTGTAGTAGAGCCACAAGGGGACAATAATTCTGGATTTGGGTGATATGTAACGAGGCAGACTTGATTGGGGAGTTTAAGGTGAAGGAACCCCTAGGGTCCAGTGACCATAATATGACAGAATTTACACTGCAGTTTGAGAGAGAGAGAAGTTTGAATCTGATGTCACTGTATTACAATTGAGTAAAGGTAACTACAAAGTCACGAGGGAGGAGCTGGCAAGAATTGTTTAGAAGGGGAGCCGAGCAGTTAACACTGTGGAGCAGTAATAGCAAGAGTTTCTGCAGGTATTTTGGGAGGCGCAGCAGAAATTCATCTCCAAGAAGAAGAAAAATACTAAGGGGAGGACAATAAGGCTGACAAGGGAAGTCAGGGTTAGCATAAAAGCAAACAAAAAAACATACAATATGGTGAAGATGAGTGGGAAGCCAGAGAATTGCGAAGCCTTTAAAAACCAGCATAGAACAACTAAAAAAGCAATAGAGGGAAGAAGATGAAATATGCAGGTAGTGTAATGGCTATCATTAAGGATAAAGTGCTAGGGAAGCTAAAAGGTCTGAAGGTGGATAAATCACCCAGATTGAATGGACTACACCCCCAGGTTCTGAAGGAGAAAGGTGAGGAGATTGTATTGGCATTGGGTGGTGATCTTTCAGGAATCACTGGAGTCAGGGAGGGTCCTAGAGGACTGGAAAAATCGCTAATTTAACATCCCTGTTTAAGAAGACAGGGAGGCAGAGACAGAAAATTTTAGGCCAGTAAGATTTTAGAGTCCATTATTAAGAATGAGATTGTGGAATGCTTGGAAGTACATGGTAAACTAGGGATGAGTCAGCATGACTTCATCAAAAGGAGATCATACTTGACCAATCTGTTAGAATTCTTTAAGGAGGTGACAAGCAACTTAGTCAAAGAAAGCGAGCGGATGTCGTCTGTTTGGATTTCCTTTGACTAGGTGCTGCACAAGAGGTTGCTAAATAAAATGAGAGCCCATGGTGTTAGGGGCAAGGTACTGGCATGGACAGACGATTGGCTGACTGGCAGAAGGCAGACAGTGGGGATAAAGGGGCCTTTTTCAAGATGGCAGCCAGTGACTAGTGGAGTTCCACAGGGTTCAGTGTTGGGACCACAGCTATTCATGTTAAATATTACCTGACTGGACAAAGAAACTGAGAACATTGTTGCTAAATTTGCAGATGATGCAAAGATAAGTGGATGGATGGGTAGTGAGGAGGTGGGGAGGCCGCAGAAGGACTTGGCCAGGCTAGGAGAGTGGGAAAATATGTGGCAGATGGATTACAATATGGGAAAATGTGAGGTTATGCACTTTGCTGGGAAGACTCAAAGTGTAGACTATTTTCTAAATGGGGAAAGGCTTTGGAAATCTGAAGCACAAAGGGACTTGGGAGTCCTAGTTCAGTATTCTCTTAAGGTTAACATACAGGTTCAGTTGACAGTTATGAAGGCAAATGTAATGTTAGCATTCATTTCAAGAGGGCTAGAATGCAAGAGCAGGAATGTACTGCTGAGGCTGTACAAGGCTCTGGTCAGACTGCATTTGGAATATTGTGAGCAGTTTTTGGTCTCCTGTCTGTGGATGGATGTACTGGTCATGAAGGGAGTCCAAAGGATGTTTAGAAGAATGATCCCGGGGATGAAGTGCTTGTCATAGGATGAGCGATTGAGGACTCTGGGTCTGTATTCAATGCAGTTTAGAAGGTTGAGAGGGATCTGATCGAGACTTACAGAATACTGAGAGACTTGGATACAATAGACATGGAGAAGATGTTTCCACTAGTAGGAGAGACCAGGACCCGAGGGCATAACCTCAGAGTGAAGGGATGACTCACTGGATCTGAGATGAGGAAGTTCTTCAGCCTGAGGGTCGTTAATCTGTGGAGCTAATTGCCACAGAAGGCTGTGGCAGCCAAGTCATAGAGCGTATCACAACAGATGGATAGGTTTCTGATTAGTAAGGGGATCAAGGGTTACAGGGAGAAGTCTAGAGAACGAGCTTGAGAAACATATCAGCCATGATTGAATGGTGGAGTGGACTTGATGGGTGGAGTGGACTTGATGGGCTGAGTGGCCTAATTCTGCTCCTTTATGTTTTGGTCTTATGGTCATACATCCCAATATGCCTGTGCCAACACTTTGCAACAGGAATCCAAAACTAATTGTATTGTTTCACTCTCTGCCCATTGAAATGGTTTCTTCCTTTGTGCCCTTTAAGGGTAAAATGTCTTTAAAAAAAAAAAAAAAATAATCTGGGATTCAACTCCCGTCTCTGGAAAATATTCCATGGTCCAAAAGAGTTACATTAATGTTACAAGGCTATCACTACCCACTGAAAAAAACTTTTGTTTCTTTAACAGAAGGAGATGACTATGCAAATGTGCCATTGAGAAAGGATCTGCTGACCAGTTATTGAAGAAACTGTTTCATTCACTTATTGAAATGGATTTTCTTACACAAAAGAAATCCACTTGAAAGAAAACTCTCTCCTGTGTCAAATAATTATTTACTGATGTTTAAATGTGAAAGATACAAATTCCTAACATGGAATTTTCTACATCAATAGAAAACTGTAATGTTTGCAGAAAATTCTATAAGGTGAAGCAGCTACCTGGAGCAGTTAATTGCTTAAATTTTATAACTACTCTAAGTTGCTTGATATTGTAGTTGTATTGATGCACAAAATGAAGAGAAAATTATAGCTTTTCTATTTTAATTATTCTGCTGGATATAAAGATTTATTAATTTTTTTGTAGTTATTTGCGAGTGAAGCGAATTTGAATGTATGAGAAATGATGAGGCACTATTGAAACGAGATAATGCAAGTCTTTTTTCATGCCTTTTAGAAATGAATATTTCAATTTATTTACTTGCACAATTCATGTGCTGATGTAATGAAAGGGTCTGGCTGGTGCCAGAAAACCTTTGGCAGAAGCAATTTGCAATATTCCATGCAGATTTCACTTCTCTGAATATCCTAAACAATTGGTTTAATCAGGACTCCCAAAAGTTCTTTATAAAAGAATTGACCTGTGATGGTACAATCTCATAGTACGATCAGCAATGCTGGCTCGCAGACAAGAAAATCTGTAAATGTATGGTACGTCGAATATCACCGAACAAGAAAATTGCTTGTTTTTTTTAAAAAATCTATTTAAAAATGAATGATATACTTTTTTAAACTAGTATTTCTTGTTTAAAGCTTGACTGTTCATAAATACTAGAATACAATACAGTTTTCCTAGTTTCTGGGGGCACCTGTGGTGTAAAGAAATTCTCTTTAAATTGTTATATTTTATATCTTATATTTTATCTATTTGGCTTCATACATTTCATGATGTGATTAAATCTCTTACAGTCTGAATTATTTGAATAGTTTTCTTTGCACTTAATTCTAAGAGATTTTGCTTTCAGATTAATGTCATATTGTTGAAACATTTGCATTTTAAATTTTTCTTTCTCAAATTCTAACTGTTGTATGTTCTTTCCGGTGATTTTTACCGTGAGCTCAAAGGAATGCATTGTTTTTGTGGGAATGAGCGCACAACAGAATATTAATCATAACATAGGTTAGATTACGTTAGAACCTCTGGATTTCATAAGCTGTTATGTTTGTAAAATATGTAGGAAATAGAATTTAGGAGCAGGAGTATGCTAACTGTTCATTGTGTTAATTACCAGGGATCAGTTCCAATGAATGTTGCTCATTCCAAACCAAGCTGTAAGAAAATGTTTTATTAATTCAGAGGAATGCAATAACTGCTGTGATTCAAGACATTTCTGCTTTATTGTCCCTTTAGAACAATTCTCAATGTGGTTCCAGCAGCCACCCGTCTCTTGGGATAAATTTTTATGCAGCCCCTCGTATTGGGCACAGTAAACCCACTGCTTGTCTTATGACATGATTGGAAGTCCGTTTTCTTTAATTGGGCATTATTTAAATATAATGGATTAGCTGCCAGAGCTAAGTTAATGGTGAAAGTGCATCACCAATCAGAAACATGGAACATCTGCATTTTTGAGGGTAAGAAAGGAATTGAGGGAGGACGGATACTGTCGGAGTTCCAGGCATTAGAAAGGGAAGTTCAATTCTTAAGAAATGTGGAGGAACACTCACTGTACTTGGCACTGAATAGCCTCCAATGGTCCCTTCATGAATCACCGACTAGACTGTTCAATACTAAGTACCAGTCAGCAGAGTTTGTGCGACATATACTCCTCCCATCGATAGTTTAAAAATGCAACAAAGATTCATTGACGTAATTAGCTTATTCATGGAATAACAAGGGACATTAATTTCAAGGTTTCCACTAAATGCTCATGGCCAGTTTTGTGGTAAAAATGAGATGTTAAATGCTATGCTGCAATTTTCATTACTCAACAATTCCACTCCTGAGATAAAGATTAGTCCCATGATCACCTTATCTGCCTGAACCTTCCATTGGATCAACTAATGCACAAGAGAGGAAAACATTGACAAATCCATGGACAACTTATCAATATTGAAATGTGTATAATGTTCAAAGTGTTACATAGAATGTAGCAATTATCCTTACAATGAGAGAAAAACAATGAATAAAAATGTGTGGACTCATGAAACACAGGCATCAGCTCATTGAGCCGAGTGGCCTGATCAATGCTGTCACATTCTGTGATTCTGCCATTTGTCCTGTCATTTGTCATTCTCTTTCTAGTTTCACCTCTTCCTTTTTGAAACAAATGCACTGACATTAATCCGGTGATTTTCTGAAGAAGGGTCTAGGCCTGAAACATCAGCTTTCCTGCTCCTCTGAAGCTGCTTGGCCTGCTGTGTTCATCCAGCTCTACGCCTTGTTATCCCCGACATTAATCCGGTGTTCTGTTGTAATTTCATATTTTTCCAGCAGATGGCACATGAAACATGGTAGAAAATGAGTGGCTAAAGCTCACTAAAAATCAGCTTAGTGTAATGCAGTTCCTACTATCAGTGTAATTTTTTAACGTGTTTCATGGAGGATTTCTTTATTGCCCCAAACTTACCTTATTAACTGTGTTCCCATGGTGTCTGACTCATATTTTCCCACTCAGCGACGGCGGAAGTACTTGCTGCTGCTGGGATATCACAGGATTCCTGATGCTAGTGCCTTTAAAAAGCCCTTATGCACCTGATCAAGTGCTATCGGTCTGGAGCTGCCCTGTATGTTTCAAGTAGCTTGACAGTGGCACATAAGGGGAAATTGGTTTCACAGCTTACAGACAGGAACCTGAAGGCCCTGGTGGACAGAGTGATGCAGAGGAGTACCACCTTCTTATCCCAGACCTGGCAGAAGAAGCCACAGCTCAAGACCCTGCCAATTGTGATTCTGTATATTCTATATACCTAGTGTTTCTGTATTAATAACAGTGAACTCAAATATCACTGAACACAGTTGCATTCCTAGAACTTGTACCTTGAAAAATCTTTGCAGTTATAATACCTGCCACAGAATGACAAAGGGAATCAAAATTAGACAACAAATTAGAATGTCAGTTAATTTTCTAATACCTGTCTGTTAAAATAGAGTTTTGACCAGTCACCAAGTACCCTGAGTCTGAGGTGAATAGATCACAGTCTGTTGCTTGATCTCCCTGCCAGCACTGCCCCCCCACCAAGCACATCTCACACTTAGAGAGGTGGTGACATTTTCCATGGAGACAAGTTCTAACACATACCCTTTACATATCCCCACATCCCATATGTGATAAACTTGATCTGTGTTTGATTTTCTTGGCCTTGGTGAAGGAGGTAGGGGCTGGTAGCTGAGGGCAGACAGCAGCGTTTCAATTGGGAACGAAAACAAAGTTGCTGTAAAAGCTCAGTAAGTCTGGTAGCATCTGTGAAGGAAAAAACGGAGTTAACGTTTCGATTCTGGTGACCCTTCCTCAGAACAGTTCTGAGGAAGGGTCACCGGACCAGAAACGTTAACTCTGTTTTTTCCCTTCACAGATGCTGCCTGACCTGCTGAGCTTTTCCAGCAACTTTGTTTTTGTTCCTGATTTATAGCATCCGCAGTTCTTTTGGTTTTTATTGTTTCTATTGGAGTGGCCATCATCTTGACAGGCCCTTAGTGAGCCAGAGAAGCCATGCTTTACCATTAGCTTCATGAAATAGAATTTCGCTACCTGCCTTACCATTGACATGCATTAAATGTCATGAAGTTGCTGAACTTGAAGATACAGTGAATACAAACTAAACAAATCACAGATATTTAATTCCAGCAAAATTGTAAGTACCCTGTAATGGTGTAATAATTGGTCATTACTGGGAACAGCCTCTTTGACACTGACACTGAAAATTATCTATATTACAGCTGTGAAGTCTCATTCCTTCAGATTTTCAAAGCATGGTGTTATGTTCATTCTTGACTGACCATGAGATCCAATGTTCAAAGACTTGAACTACGTTCCTGGTGTGATCTACTTCACTTCAGTTAGATGAGACCCTAACTGAAGATTTACCTTAAAAGACTTCAACATAGACATGAACCAGAAAATTATTGTCTGCCAGCCCTGGAAGTGGGGTGGAAAGATTTACCTCATTTAAGTGGGCACCAGAACCTCGTGTCCATATTGGTCAGCTCAGTAAGTGGCTGCTGTTGGGTCTGTAGCAGCAAAATGGAGACATCTTGATGACAGTGCATCCTCAAAGTCAGGTAAGTGGATCCAGGTAGGAAGGGCTTGGTGATGGAGGAAGGGCTGGTTGCTGAGGGCAGGTAACATCATTCTTGATGCCATTGGGGGTCACATATGACCAAAAAGGAGCTCCTCCCCACAACAACAGCTATCACTGGGAATCTGCCAGGTTTTACTAGGCAGTCTCTCCTTGTGGTGAAAAACTCCCCCACCCTTTCATATAATGACAGTGGAGGGGATTTTTCTGACAACTGGCAAAACGCGATGATAGTGGGATGATGATACACATGCCACTCACCATCTTCCTGCACCATTGTGCTAGATGTTCCACCTCCCTGCCCATGCCTGAAGGGCTAGTAAAATACAGCCCTACCTTTTGTAGTGCAAGTGTTTCCTGATAGTAAAGAGCAAACAGAACAATACTGCCAAAATAAAACTCCATTTTCAGGTTGCTATTTTTTTAACAAGCACTTAATTCACTGCACTAACTATCAACCTACAACACTAGAATGATGCTTAGATCACAGCAGAGTTATGCTACTCCGAACCAGCAGGAACTGAACACACCACAGACTAAGTTTGTGATGCATTACTTGCTCTGTGTTCCTAACACAACAGTACTTCAGACAGTGTCTGTGTTCCTCTGCTACTAGCATTTAGAAAATGCTTGTTTGTAGTAGTCTTTAATCCTCATCCTTTTTGGGAGAACCTTAATCAAGAGTGCCTCTGAAATGATTCTTTAACTTTAGTTTGAGAAATGTAAGTCCTAAAGACGCTAAATCCGTGTAAAGGATTGCTCTATCTCTCACCAAACGAAAGGAGCCAGCTAAGGGTATTACTGTCCTCCTGGTAACCTTTTTAACAAGTGTAAGCTACATTATAAAATCCTGGGTTTTTTGGTTCTGGGCTACTCCTCACACTTTCTCCTACCAGAGGGTATAGAATTGGACTGTCAAGTATGCAATACAAAAGACCATGTGAATTAATAAAAAAATCTAAGATGTATAGAAATATATAGAAGAACCGAACATATAATTCAAAGTCAAATGGAAACAGTCAATCACAACATTCAATAGCAGAGAATCTGATTTACATTTCAATTATTACAGTAAAATGTTTTAAGTAGGATATCCATAAATTAATAAAGTAACATTGGTCTTAATTCTTTGAGTGAAACTAGAGAGTTAATAAGACGACTCTGCCCAAGTTAAGGAGCAACTTGCCTTCACTAAGACTCAAGTCAATCCATTACCTTGCGTGAGATGCATAAGTGAGTTAAGTAAGTCTAAGGGTGTCATGTCTGTTCTCAATCTTTGTGGCAACTAAGACTAGACAGCATCGCCTCAAAATAAAGGGAAGCAGATGTAGGACTGAGGTTAGGAGGAACTTCTTCACCCAAAGAGTTGTGAATCTGTGGAATTCCCTGCCCAGTGAAGCGGTTGAAGCTACCTCGCTGAATGTTTTTAAGGCAAGGCTAGATAAATTTTTGAACAGTAAAGGAATTAAGGGTTATGGTGAGTGGGTGGGTAAGTGGAGCTGAGTCTCAAAAAGATCAGCCATGATCTTATTAAATGGCGGGACAGGCTCGAGGGGCCAGATGGCCTACTCCTGCTCCTAGTTCTAATGTTCAATTTTGAGGCTGCATAGCTAATGTAATATATATAGTGGTGGTATCATCATTGTAATTAGGTTCCAAAATTGGTTTTGATTGTTGTCAAATTTTTTTCTTAGGTTCAGCCCTGTTGATTTTAAGAACATTTGTATAACTGTCAAATTCAATGTAAAATATGTATGGGCAACATTGATTCTGGGACAGTCAAGCTTCTATGCTCTTGTAGTGGTTAATTTTCAAACAAGGAGAAAAATGGGTAAATTTAATATAAAGCTCTGAACTAACGGCTGTATTACTGAAGTTCATTTTAAAGGGATGATAAAATGCATTCATTTATTAACAAGTGAAATTATCCTGTTGCATTATTGGGCTTTTCAACTTATGTGCATTCCTGGCAGACTTTTACAAATCACTCTGTAAAAGAGTCATACCAGACTCAAAACGTTAACTCTATTTCCACCAGAGATGCTGCCAGACCTCCTGAGTTTCTCCAGCATTCTGTGTGTGTTTCAGATTTTCAGCATTTGCAGTATTTAGCTTTTATTGCTGATAGATCACCAGTGGTTGTTTGAAGTATGATTTAAATGGAGGAATACTGCATTAAACTGCAACACGAAGGGACTTGGGGGCACTTGTGCACGA